CTGTTAGAATTAATAGATTCTGTAGACTAAATAAATAAATAAATAAACTTATATTTGAAATGGCAACCTAAGTTGCTTAACTAATTGTTTGGTTAATACATTGTATATGGACGATATACTTCTAGAGTGAAATATAAAAATTTCACAAGCATCATCTAAATTTATACTAAGAAACGTAAAGTTTGGTGCCACCACCTCTTTCGGCAAAACATACAATAATTACCTTGTAACGAAAAAAACAATATAATTAAATTCTTCAAGGAAAATTTGTTATTCCCACAAGCGTTCATACATTCATTATCTTTACCCCATACGATTCGCTTTTACACCACTGTACCACAAATTTCTCTGCGATCACGAACAAAATATCACTTTCAGTTTTGCCTACCACTGATCTACAGGCTTCCGAAAATGTAAAAAAAAAAACAGTTACATGGATTTACTCGCTCGCCAGATATTGATAGTGAATAAATCAAACGTGTTTCTGATGACGGAGATATGGGGAATCCTCCGGAATCGTGTGCCCTTGTGTCACTCACCTTTGAACTAATTTTATTAATGTAATTTTACTTTTTATAAAAAACTTGGATCATTTTGATAACAAATGTGAGGAGTTCTTGTAACTTACTTATTTTTTTTTATTGTAATAATGTCATTTTAATTTTTATAAGCAATCAAAGTAATCAAAATAACGTTTTTTGATTATAACTTTTTCAGCGCAAAACGGAGACTCAAAAATTATGGCAAATAGTAAATGTCATGGTGAAATTATATACATGTGATGTCAGTAGACCTCATAACTGTAAAATTTTGACTTTATTGGCTGCCTTATTTTCAGTGATGCCCTTTTACCTACATACATACAATTACCTTTCCATACAAAATGGGAGCAAATTATACTGCTTCTAATATTTTATAATTAACGTATGCTGTTGGGACTACTGTTTTCTTCTTGACAATTTGAATAAATGTTTATACCATGATCATGATTCAATAATAGAAAGGTTTTGTAATAAAACAGTCTTCTCGCTTCCACACATAAAATCGGCTCCTTTACTTGTGCAGAATGTTGCTTACTCTGCAGTTTCTAATGATATTAGTAGTAAAACCAAAAATTCTTCATACTAAATATTCGTGAGCATCACCTACGTATGTGTAATTTTCTAGAACAAGTGTAGAATAGCCACCGTTTAGCTATAAAATAACCAAAAATACCGATTGATAGAACTTTTTACGCTGAGTTGAACGATACCAAATTTATTCGGCGCAGGTAATAAATAAAGAAGATATAAGAGGTTTATTTGCTTTATTTATTTGTATTTTTTATTATCACTAAATTGTTGAAACCCAAAAGTAGATAGTGACAAAATATGCAATATCGAATTAAAGGTAATAACTTGTAATTTCTAAATAATATTAATTTCTTTACCATTAATTATGCAGTTTTTTCAAAAAAGGTTATTTCATGAAAAAATAACATTTGCTCGTTTTTTAGTGGTTTTGGTTTAAAAATACAAAAAGCTATAAATTATGTGCATCAGCTGAAAGACAAATCAATTATCTTGGTGGTGACGTCATTAATTTTTTAATCGGTTATATAGTTCATAAGATATTAATATTTAAAAAATCTAAGAACTGAAATTTAACCTTCTAGAACGTCTTCATTTTTCACTTGCGCCAAATAATTTTGGCATGGTTGAAATGAGCATAAAAAGTTCTATTGATCTGTATTTTTCGTTTTTGCATAGCTGAACGGTCGGTATTCTAGATTTCTTCCAGCAAATGACGAATAACTGAAATCAAAAATGCATATTTTTATGTATTGTTTAGTATTTCCATTATAACACCAAATATATTGCAAATTCGCATAGAATTAAAAATTCACCTTTACTTCTAATTGTATACTTTGCGTACTTTTTGTAGTACCTTTCTACTACCGTTTTCGCAAAAGGCGATCACATTCTTCCCCTTTCTCCTACTTCCAAAATACAAATCTAGATAAAGGAGTGTCAAATTTTAGCTGTCACAAATTACACAACCTTGTATTATTGAATCATGACCATGATAAAAACATAACAAGGTAAAACCATTGAGAGGCAGTCTGACGTTTGCCAA